GCTCACTAGTAGTCTGAAAAGAGCTTTTAGCTGCCCAGAAGTGCTTAACCTGGATCACCATTTTCACAGTATTCTCAGAAGAGAGTTTAAACACTGCTTATTGTGAAATCTCCATCAGCTAGTGGGTGCTCCTATAGGTAGCCAAACAGATTGATTGCCTTTTGGATTTTAGGATAGAAATCAAAGTAGAACACATCAATAAGAGCCTCTTTGTGCTATTCCATCTTTTGGAACCAAAATACTCAGTAGTTGAAGAGCTCTCCTTGAGTCAGTTTCAACATGTCTGTATTTTTAGATGCCACTACGTTTTTGTCAAATGCTCTTTTTGTGAATTTCACTTCCTACTTCATCTCAGACCAGTGGTTGAGATTAGTAGTTGACTCACTAACATACTTCCGTTTGCAGACATGGCTCCCGTTCCATCTCTCTGTGCTGTACACTGCAGTAATGTGCAAACTGTGATACAAAGGTTTCTGGCAGCAGCTCCTCATCATCATTTCTACTTTTGGAATTTTTTTCAGCTCCTGAAATCTGTCCATTTCAGTGTGATTTTCTCAGTTTGTACAATACAAGCATATTCTCTTCTTCCCTTTTTCATCCCCCCCTCCTTTTGTTTTTTAATGTTCCGTAGTTTTGTACAAGACGAGACTTAGCCTTGGGTACTTCTTGCTGAAGTTTTAATGCTTTGTAAATAAAATCGGATGTTTATTAAAGAACAAGTGTAGATGCTTGTTTGCAGGTACTCATCCCTTCTGAAACTCACCTGCCCCCTTGCTTTATGTGACAGAAAAGGCAGCTTGCTGTGCTGGTGTCAGATCTTTGTGGAAATACAGAGCTGGGAGGGGGAGGGGATATGTTCAGGTAATCCAGGTTTCTACCTCTGGACAAGATTATAAATAAACCATTCAAACAAAAGGTGCTTGAAAGGTTATCTAGGAATGATCTCTCTTCAGATTTTTAAATTCAGTAAAAGTGTGTGTAACCACCTGGTAGAGGCTCCAGTGCTAGGAGGTATTGTGTAGGTTATAGGAACGCGTGCGAGGAGCTTCCTGCGGTCCAAGGAGCTTTCTTCACGCACATAAGTGGTTAAATTCCTCTTTACCACCCTTTTTCCTCCTAGATTAAATAGCTTTAGAACCCATTGAATACCCATTGTCTCCTAAACAATAAGATGTTTCATAAAGTCTATGTAAGTGTTTGATTTTAATCATCAAATTCGAGTGTTCACTTGTTAATCTCTGTGATGTGACTGAGAATCCATCTTTGACATCATAGCTGTTTCATAGCAACGCTAGCCCGGGTGAAAGATGGGCTTCTCTATTCTACAGAGTGAAGTGAGTAGGCCAAGGGGCAGGGAGAATTATGCATCCACTCCTCCCGAAAATATCTTTGGTGTCCTTGGGAAGGAAAAGTGCCTAGAAGGTGGAGAGGAGCTGCATTTAATAGCGGTAACTTGCTGATCAACATTTGAATTCTAAGAGGGCTCTTGGCCCTTGTCCTCATGAATTTTCATTTCCATTTAAAATTCCTTACACAGGAACAGTGTTTCACACTTTACAAAGTATTTTCATGCACACTTTATCATTTGGTGCTCAAAATGGCTTTCCTGAAATATGCACCAAGGTTTTAATTTACAAAGGAGAAATTAGACATAAAGATTCAGGAAGGATAAGTGACTTGCCTCCTAGTCTGGAGTTCTTAATTCTTGTTATAGAAGGTTTAGGAGCATTGAGAGGCAGTAACTTAATTCAGGTTAATTCTCTCTTTTAAGACTTGTTATTTGATTTCTTATTTGGTAAGGTCGAAACTCTCTACATTAGATCCCACAATTTGGCGGGGAGGGGAAAGAGTGAGGGCAAGTCTGGCTTCAATGCATTTGAGGTGATTTGGGAATTCACTTCAGCTTCTTAGGCCTTCTTTGTCTTCCCAAGAGGTGGATTTAAAGTCATTAAAAGTGTGGAAAGAAGGAAGATTGGTTAGGGGGTCAATAACAAGCAGAGGTGGTAAAGCAGCAACATTGTGACTTTCCTGCCTGGCGGCCTCACCTGTTAATAAGGACTGGACTCTGGTTTAGAGTGGCAGTGTTTTATTGATAATGCATGTATCATATCTTTTGACTTTGAAGGATATCTCATGTGGAAGGAATTGAGTTATGATACCGTAGAGGATTCAACCGGAATACCTTGGGGTGCTGTCTGAGGGCAGTGAAATGTCTGCTGAGACATGAAGACTTTGGCTACTGGTTTTATCCTTGGGAGCCTGGTGTTGGCCGTCTGCCTGCCTCTTGTGACTTTTGCACAGCCCATCCCTAAGAAGCTGCAAGACGCTGTGGGGGAAGTTGTTGTCAATACCACGGCCTGTACTGTCACTTGTGGCCTTGGCTATAAGGAAGAGACCATCTGTGAGGTGGGCCCTGATGGAGTGAGAAGGAAGTGTAGAACTCAGCGTTCGGAATGTCTGAGCACCTGGATCTGTGGGATGCTCCATTTCACCGTTTCCTCAGGAAAGGAGTATGAGCTGATCTGTCTGAGTGCAGACATCCTGGAGATTGGGCTGGATAAGTTCCGGTTCAGCTGGAGAATTGCTCGGGGTATCATCTCAATTGAAGATGAAGTCTTCAAGCCCTTCATGTCCCGTTCCTACTTTGTGAAGTTTAAATCTATTCAGGAGTATGACTCTGGGACCTACCGGTGTGATGTGCAGCTGTTAAAAAACTTGAGATTCGTCAAGAGGGTCTATTTTGGGCTGAAGGTCCTATCTTCTAAGTTGGTGCACCTGGATTTTCATCAGTCCCTTACTGAGGAACAGAAGTTAGCAGATGAGGGCCTTCAAGTGAATCTGGGCAACTATTCCAGGCCTCCCCATTTGCCATGGAGAAGGGATGTGGCGACAGCCTTGGGAATAGGAATTGCTAGTGGAGTGATTGGCGGGGTGTTGGTGATCTTTGTCGTGAGCAGTGGGCTGAGGGTGGTCTATAGAAATGCCAGCGATGAGACCTAACAGGCCTTGCTTCTGAAGGGCTGGCTGCCTAGGAAGCTGTACTTGGCTGCTCAGGAGGCCAAGCTAGATTTTCAGGGGAGTGTTCTGGCTGCCTGATTGTGGACCACCTAAGGGAGGGCATCCAGTGCCAAGAGTGAGTGGGGATGTGGAGAAGGGGCAACATTGTGGTAGCAACGGGCAATAATCTCTGACTGTGTCCTAGATGGATCTCTTCTTGACTTCCCTGCCCACTAGGTCCCCAGGTAACCCGACTGCACGCATCTCCCCTACTGCTCGGAGAGTTCTTTCTTCCAAACGTGCATTTGTTTTCTGTCCTTCACAGCTTGTTGCTTCCCCACCTCTTCCTTCTAAGCAGCATAACCACATAGAAAGATTTATTAATAATAGCTTTTCTAGTGAAAACACTTTTTCTTCTTCAATAAAAGTAATTGACAGCTGTATGGAAATCATCTTTCCTACTCTTTAGTTAACAGTTTCTTACAGTTGTTTAAATCGTCCCATAATCAGTTGGGCTTTCATTTTCCTCAAATTTCTTAGAATATACATTGAACAAATTAAGCCCATGTGTACCAGAGCTGAGGTTAGTAATGACATCTGACTCAGTATGTAATAGAGCCTCACTACATGTTAATAATTTATCTGCTCCCCCCATCCTCAGGTGAACCCTTTCTGTTCAGTGTTATATTTATTCCTGTCAAAGCACTGGAATCTTCATCTGATAGGTTTCCCTGAAATGTCCCTTGGCTTGCTCTCTGCTTCTCTCCTAGCTCTTTCAGTGCCCTGAACTTGTGTTCCTAGAAAGGTCAAGTGTATTGGTTTCTTATAGCAGCCAAGGCCCCTTAAGGCCTTCCTCCATGGGAAATCCAATTTTTAAGACCCTCAGAGGCCCTTCAGACTGTCAGATAATTGGCTTAGGGAACCATCAGAGAAAAGGCTTTTGGCCCCAGCTAATTCTGAGAGAATTATAGCATTTCTTCCCCTCACTTTTCTCTGTCTACAGACGAGATGGTAGAAACCAAGACTTGGACCAGTGGTTCTCTTCTCTAGCTGTGTCTGAACCACCTGTGTGAGCTTTTGAAACGAGATTCCTGAGCTCCAACCCTGGGGGTGCTAATTTAGTTTCAGTTATGGCCAGTGGATCTCTGATTTCCTCTACTATTTTATTTTGTTTTTTGACTCCTTACCCGAGGATATTTTTTCCATTGTTTTTCAGAGAGAGTGGCAGGGTGGGGCAGGGAGGAGAGACAGACAGACATCGATGTGAGAGAGACACATCAATTGGTTGCCTCCAGAACTCGTCCAGACTGGCGCCAGGGATTGAGCCTGCAACCGAGATAAGTGCCCTTGGCCGGAATCAAACCTGGGACCCTTCAGTCCAGGGGCCAACACTAACTACTAAGCAAAACTGGCCAGGGCTCTTCTTTTAATTTCAAAAAAATGCCAAACCCTTAGAGAATTTGAAAGAAAGGTTTGGTGACACCCATAGACCCTTTACCTAGATTCATCAACTTTGAACATCTTGCTACAATTATCTTTAAATAATACTGATTTTATTGAACCACTTGAAAGCTAGTCACAGACATTGTGACTCTTTAGTTCTAAATTATGTATGCATCTCCCAATAAGGGCATTTGCCCATGGAACCACAATGTTGTCATCACATCGAAGAAAACAATTCCCTAATCTGACATATAGTTGATTTTTTTTCGTAAAATCTTAGAGCTTTTTAGTTTTTGATCCAGGCTCGAGTGAAGCTAACACATTACATTTGGTTGTTTCCCTTACACCTTATTTTACAACTGATCGCCTGCTATTTTTGTTGTTTTTCATGACTTTGATTTGGTTGAATAGTAGTTAGGCCCGTTGTCTTGAATGGTGTCCTGCAATCTGGATTTGCCATTGTTTCCTAATGATTAGGTTCTGAGGAATGAATCTTAAACATTTTGACAAAAGCCCTGTGTAAATGATGACGTACTTATCACATCACCTCAGGAGGCACATGTCAGGTGACCCGCTACTCATGGATCTCTCCAAAGGTGTATACAGGGGCGGCCGAAAGTAGGTTTACAGTCGTGAGTACTTGAAAGTTTATTCTTGTAGTATTTGTGTTACAACTGGAAACCTACTTTTGCCCATGTCAGTATATTTTTTCCTTTTGTAAGTAATCTGTGGGATGATATTTTGTGATTATCTGGTTTTCTTAAAAATGTTCGCAAACATTTTGGAATCCATTCATGATCCTTGCCTTGTTGCAGCATGTTGGGGGTTGCAAAATGGTGATTCTGTAAATTCATCATTTCTATGTTTATTAGCCTGCAGTTTTCTGTAAAGAAGAGCTACTCTTTTTACTCTTTATTTTTGAGGTCTCAATGGATTCTCTTTTTTTTTTCTTTTTAAAAATATATTGATTTCAGAGGGAGAGGAAGAGAGAGGGAGCTGAAACATCAATGATGAGAGAGTCACTGATCGGCTGCCTCCTGCACACCCCGACTGGGGATCGAGCCCGCAACCTGGGCATGTGCCCTGACGGGGAATCGAATTGCGATCTGGATCCTAGGTCGATGCTCAACCACTGAGCCACGCCCAACTGGGCTGGATTCTCTTTTTTATTCAGTGAGTTACATATATTCCATTACTGTTGTCATGTTTTTGATGTTCAAATTGTCCCCAATTTTGGTCAGTAGGAATCCCTTCAAGCCAACTCTTTTGTCCTTTAGATGTGATCATTTGGACTTAGTTTCTCCAAACATGAATCTGCTGTTTCTCCAGGGAACTCTGGTTCCTTTTAGTTTGGGGAGTAGTACAGAAACCAAGGTCTGGGTGCTAGATGTGCTTGTTTTCACTGGGGAGTCACTGCTTTTAGGCCCTTTCAGTGTCTTGCATATATAGAAATCATACGCTTAAAGCACCTTTGTTTGGTAGAAGTGTTATAGATAATTCTGATTTATAGTGAAGATTGAGAACCACTGACCTAGGCCCGTGCACAGGAAGTCTTTCCTATGGCTCTTATTTTGAAAAGATCTTGACATTTTTTCCACACACCCTTCCCCCCATTCTCTCTACCTCGGGGGGAATGGATTTTGGACCTGGGCTCTGCTTCTGTTTCTGCTATCGGCTGTAACGGGGAGCTGACTGGCCCTCAGTAGTCCTCATCTTTGAAACACGTGCTTGTATGGATCAAATGAGATCCTGTGAGTGAAACTGCTTGGTAGACAGTGAAGGACTGGATGTGAGTTGGGCAGAGCTATTACTGATGCATATTAGTTCAGTACCCGGCAGTTTGCCAGAGCAGCCAGGAGAGAGCTTGCTATACTTCAAAAGTCCATACAACAGCATCTTTGTAGCTAACTAAGGAGGGCAGAGGACTGGAGTACACAGCCACCTTCTGCAGATGGAGAGACTGGGACCCAAGAGGAGCTAAGTCACTTCCACGGGAGGCCAGTGGTCACGCATAGATGCGGTATTGTCCAGCTCTAGGTTTATAGCCCTCTGTGCGTTGGATTCTTGAATTTTGACTCTGAGGGTGTAAAGGGATTGGACAGGGAAGGAAACAAAAGATGTATTAGTGAAGATGTATTAGTGAAGACCCAAACCCAATTCAGTTTGTTGGATTCTGTCATGTAATCTGTTTCTGGAGGGTCAAGGAGATGCTGACTGGAGTAAAATTTGGGTTCTGGAGTTGCCAGTGGTCCCAGCAGCCCCTTTGGGTGCAAAGGTATATCGCCACCAATGCTGGCCCCTTCTGGGGGCCCATGGTCAGCCTGGGCTGCTACTGAACAGGTCCCTGCACATGGCTAAGCAGCCAGTAGTGGGGGTTCTGCCCGCCTTCATCTCCATCTTCCCTAAAAAGGCTGTGGGCATAGCATGGAGCCCTACCTGCTGTGCACGGAACAAATGGAACTCTCCCAGGGCCGCACAAGTGTATCACTGCACAGGTCTCAGACGTAACGGATGATCAGTGCTTGTTGAATGCTTGAGAGAATGTCGCAGCTGGGAGCTATGACTAGGAATTCAAATTCTATTGGCTGCTGTGAGCAGATACTGGAGGTACTTTTCTCCAGGCAGGGGTCACTATGTCTCTGCAGGGAGAAGACTTCCCTCGGGTACAGTTGAGTCAATACCTCCAATGTCTTAAAAATCAGGGCACCTTGAAAGAGTAGCATCACACGAGCACTGTTCACTGCCCGTCGTGTTAGGTAGAGCCGGCCCAGCCTAGCAGAATGCCAGTGTGCGCACTGCTCGGGCAGCCCAGTCTTAACAGAATGCCAGTGTGCTCTGCTCGGCAGCTCAGCCTAGCAGAATGCCTGCGTGTGTGCTGCTTGGGCCTGCCTTGAAGCCTCTTGGGCTAATGGTTTTCCTTCCCAGGATGAATGAGGCAATGTGAATCATATATAGTGACTGCCTGAGAATTGGCTGGGGGAGGGGAAGGTGCTGGATAAGAGCCTGGATTCGGGAACAGGATAAGGTGTGCTTTAGCCCAGTGATAAAAACACCCACAGCTGGCACCAGTTGCCTCCGCAGGTTGAGAAACCGTCTTTATTTAAGAACTGCCTGCTACCAGAGTCAATAACTATCATTATAAGAAGTACAAGAGAGACAACAGGCTAGTGGGAGTGGTTCCATTTGAACAACAACCGAGTCAAGTCTGTGGCCTGATGAAGCCCTCAGCCTTGCCCAGCCGGGAGCATTTCTCAGCTTTCCAGGCCCTGGATAGGTGGGTAGTTGGAGCCCAAGGGCCAAGGCAGAGTACAGCCCAACTAAGGACACTAGGCTTCCTGGGGCTCTAGGCAAAGCTACCAGACCCATTTTTTCCCCTCTCTAGTTTCCCTCTATTGTTCTACTTTCCCAAAGCCTATGACCACATACATATACAGCTGCCAGGCACCTCTTTCCATGGAGCTCTTTGAAATCCCTTTAAAATGCTCATCTAACCCATCACCCCACTCCAGGAGCCTCTGGCAACCTGGTTCATATCCAGGACAAAGGCTGACCCAGAGAAATAGGGCACCACACCTGGGCCTCAGGCCAGGTTTGGGGATACTGCTTCCCTGTGACATAGAGGAGCCCAGGTAGCGGTCATTCTGAGACCAAGAAGAGAAGAGTCCTTTGGCTGAGAAGGGACATGGGGAGTCAAACATCCTTGGCCAGCTTGGGTTCCTGTCCAGAGCACAGACTGGGCGCTTCCCGGGATTGCCAGGAGGCAGTGTATGCTTGGAAAAGCCCCCTAGGTGAGCTGCTTCCTTGGTGACTGTGACTGCGCAGGGCCACAGCAAATAGGTGCTCCAAGCCTTTTCCTGCACTGAGCACCTTTGGATTCTAAGACTCTCAGCCCTGGAAGGACACCCTACAGCATCTCCTACCCACTCTCCAGTCCACCTAACCTAGACTCCAGAGCAACAGTTGTCAACATTCCTCAGCTTTCTTAAAAAGGAAGAAGCCACTTGCTACTCCAGGGTCTCATGGCACAAGTTTTTCTCTCTCACTTGAGTCTTTATCAAAAGAAAAGGCCCCCCGCCCCGGGCCCTTCTATTCCCTGGCACCATGTGGATCGTTTGATGACAGTAGATAACCTGACCTTGCTGGGTCCCAAGCTGCCCTCCCAGGGCCTTGTCAGAGCAGCGAGGATCTGGTAGCCAAGGCCACGGTAAAGAGCCCTGCAGGCTGAGCCCGTGTACACAACAGAGCAATTGTCTCCCCGGGCCCTGAGTGGTGTCAGCAGGCTGTCCCTAGTCCTCAAGGCACTTACTGGCCTCTAAACTGTGGGGTAAAGTCCTTGTCTGTGGCTGTCCTCCTTGTTGCCTCTCTCGGGCTTGGAATGAAAGAGGAGAGACCCAGAATCAAGTCATGACTACAGCACGAGTGAGCCCCTCAACTGCCCCACCCTTCAGGAAGGAGTCCTGAGAAACCATCGAATCTCTTCTGCCCCCACACGAGCTCCTGTACAAGAGGCTGTTACATTTTACAAGCCCGCATGTCCTCACTAAACCCGAGCTCTACCTGAGGTCTCAAGCTGCCAGAACATCATTTTAGTTTAGTCCTGCGTCCCTGGAACCAGTCCTCCCTGCACAGTGGTTAGGTGTTCCTGGGACTGAGTTTTCCTAGTGTAGAACCCCTCTTCAGCTCCCAGCAGGCCTGCCTTCCTCCCTGTTGTTCTAAGGGCCTCCTTAGAACTAAAACACTGGTTGTGTCTTTTGACTCAGGCAAAAGCAGGGACTGCAGCCTCCAGCTGCACTGGCTGGATACTGTGCCAAACCAGCTTATCCCTCTGGGCCACAACCCACGGCAGCGAGGACAGAATCAGCTAAACCGTGGAAGAAAGTTTCTTTGAGAATCTCCTTTCTGACTGAGCTGGGCATGGCCAAACCGCAGCCACGGATGTCAGCACAGATGCTAGGCCAAGTTTGGGGTCCCTGGAATGGGGGAATGGTCACATAGCTGAGCCCCCACCACCTCGCATGGGGGGATGGGCAGGAGCAGGTGAGGAGGGTGTGACCTGATGTCTCCAGGGAGGCAGTCCTGGGCTGGGCGGGGTGGTGGTGCAGAGGCAGTGGGGACAAGGGGTGTGAGCTTGCATTTAAAAAAAAATTATAGTGGGTAAAAACAACATAAACCTGCCCAGGAAAATAGAGCAGGACTTAAGAGTTTAAAAAACCATAGCAAAATAGAGCTCTAACTGTAAACTACAGAAATCAGGCTTAGGGGGGCCTGTCCCCTACCAGATACCTGTCCTGCTGCTCCTGGATGTCAAGGGCCACCTGTCAGAGCATAGGTTGTGCTGCCACTGCTACCTGGATCTGGGAAACCCCTGCCCTTGCTTTGGCCCCTTCTTGGAGCAAGGGGAAGGGGGACAGGGGCTTCGAGCCAGCGCTGCAGATTGAGGTCCTAGCAGGAGCTAGGCTCAGAAGGCAAAGGACTGGTACCTCCTAGAATCCGCCCACACCGTGGGTTGGGACCCAGCCAGGCTGCTCACCCCATGATCACCCACCAGAACCTCTTGAAGCGGAACTTTCATAGCCCACTGTCCTTAACCACCACCTTAACAAGGAGACTGCAGGTTCTGTTCCTTACCCGAGCCCTGTCACTGACACTGTGACCTTGGGAGGCCCTGACCCTTTCAATCGCGGTTTCCTCATCTGTAAAGTGAGGGGCTTGGACAAGTTGAGCTCTGAAGCTTCTTCCAGCTCCGATGTTCTGTGACTGGTAAGATACCCAGAGCACAAGATAGGGTGTCCCATTTATTAACCCCCTTGTCTTCTAGGGAAATGCAAAAGAGCAGTCTGAGGCAGCCGGGGACAGTGTGCCTGGTGGCCCCGGCATTCCTGGGAGCAGGCAGGGCCACATTTTCCCTTGTTCTTCTCAGAGGTCTCTCGACTCCAAGACATACAGAATTAATGCCGTTTACTCCCCCAGGCTCAAGGGGGTCAGTGCTGGGAGAGGAGTCCTGGGGCCTGCAGGCTGAGCTGGAGGAAGTGGGCACATGACCCCCATCTCTGGTCTCCTGCCCAAACCCTGGAGGGACCGTGCAGAATGGGTCTTGGTGGGGTGGGGGGGCCTCTCCAAGACAAGCCCTTTCATCATGCAGTCACCTGTAGTGGCTTCTGTCACTTTGGGGTGACAGGGTCAGGTTGGCAGTGTTGGCTAAGAGGGTAACGTCAGGCCATGTCTGGGGCCCTCTCCACCAGGTGTCCGAGCCTCTCAGCCTTGTGAGCCCCCACCCCCAGCAGTCTGGAGTATATCCCCCCTAAGCTGCAGGGGCTCAGACATCAGGGCACCGGTGCTCGGCCACCTGCTCAGGTGGCAGGAGCCTCCAGGGAGTCATCGAGGGCAATATCAGGGTCCAGCCATGTCGCCCCCGAGAGAAAATGGGAGAGTCCTTGGTCCCAGGGTTGGTTCTCTCCTTAGACTGAGGGATATTCGTGTTTATGCTTTGTCCCACTTCAGCCCGGTCAGATCCAGGGCTCCTGCTGGGTCTGGGACTCTGCTCTCCGGTGAAAGGGTTCATATGCGGTCCCAGGGTGCCATCTCCACAGATGTGTAGATGTTTTCGATCTCCTGCTTCCCATAGGCCTGTTCCCCCAATCCAGGCACCCCAGAGGGCCCAGGCATAGGGTTCCATATCATCATGGAAGTTACTGCCTGGTGCCTCTTGATTAAAAAAAAAATCCTCACATGGGTTCTATCCTGTGGCAGAATATGAAATATTCTACCTCCTACTAAAAGGGCACTGTCTACAGTAGGTATTGAAAACCAGCCATTCTCAGGCACAGTGTGGGGCCACCTTGGCCTCGGGAAGGGACCGGGCCAGCTGGCTGCATCCATCAGAGGCGTGTCCGGCTGTGGGGGAGGGAGGGTGCCGAGGTCAGAGCTCCAGGTGGCCTATGAGGACCAGCATCGCCATGGAGTGGGACAGGATGGTGCCGGGGTGTGGGGCTGGGCACATTGCAGAGTTCTCCACCATCATGCTGGTGCCTGAAAGCGGCAGGCAGAGATGTGGGCAGGGCTGGCTGGGCACCGCCCCCGCCCCCCC